CTTTGGGAAAGAAATTATGAAGGTTTCATTAAACAGAGTTGTTTATAGTGAAATAAAGAGAAATATCTGGCAGCTTGACATAAGGCATGGCTGAAGAGATGTTAGATCAGGTAATTTCCTAACCATGCTTGTCACTAAGCGACCTTTACTCAGGACAACTTTGTTAAAATGGTTTGAGTAGCAGAAAGACGTGGGAGGGCATTAGAGTAAACACCTGCCATTTTGCCTCCCCAACAACTGTTTCTCTTTTACCTCTTATGTTTCTCTGGGGCAGGGGCTTAATTACAATGAACAACAGCCTGTAATTACAGGACTCCAGGCCACAGTGGGATTAAGCTCCCAGTGTTGAGCTGCTGAGCTGCTAGACTAAGAATCCTTGAATTCTCTCTGGCTGGGAACAAAATTGGCCCTATAATCCAGAGTGAGGATTTAATCAGCAGGTGAAAATTAAGCAACTCCAGTTTCAAAGATGCAGTAGTTCTCCATTTGGCCATACATTAGAATCATCTGCTGGGGATTAAAAAGAAAAACAAAGAAAACCTGACCAAAGACTGGGCCTGATGTCAAACCAATTAAATCAGAATCCCTGAGGGTGGAGAACTGGGCTTTGGTATGTTTAAAAAGCTCCCCAGGTGATGCTGATCTGCAGCTAGGCTTGAGGACTACAGGATATGAAATACATAGAGGTGAAAAAGTCAAGCATGTATCCCGTGGGGTAAAAGTGAAAAGGGAAACTCTACAGCCAACTCTGGAGTAAGGGACACTTCATGTTGGGCTGGCTTGGCTAGTGTCAAAATGGGATGTAGAGGACTCTAGCTAACATAGCAGATACTGAAATTAGGGGTGCAGTGAGAAAGGCTGGAGGGCAGTAAGGCAAGGCTTCACATTCTTTGTTATTTTGCTTTGGGCAGCCCTATATTCTCTCCTCAGTGATTACATCACAAGCAGCACCTGCCTCCTTTCCCGAATGCGAATGCCTAGCAAGGGCAGCAGTCATTTAAAATTGATCAGAATCTACTCTTTTTGCACTGATTTGAGTGCTTAAGATGTGAGGGAGAATGCGCCATCTTCTTGTGATAATAACTCTATCAATTAGGTACAATGTGAGTAAACCTTCCACTCAACAGAATCTCAGAATTTTAGAACAGGAAAGGACCTTTGTTATCACCTGGTTCAACCCTTTCTTTTAGGTTTTTCAAAGGAAAGAAGTGTTTCTTGTGCTTCATGGTTTCTGTGGTGCCCAAATGGTGGATACATAAATATTAAATGACCAATTAATGAATGAATTTCCAGATGAGGAATCTGAGTTCCAGAGTTAATAAACAAGTAGGTTCATTCATTCATTCATTTAATACCAGTAAAAACAAAAATGATTTAGATATCCAGGAGAATGGCATAAAATGTTAGAAATATAAGAGGCTAGCATATTTCTGATGCTCTTAGAAATGCAAGTCAGTTTAATCCAACTAACATCTTGATACACTTAGTAGGAAAGACATTGTATTAGGTGCTATAGAGGTTAGTAGAGCTTAGTTTTTAACGGCCCAAGCTCCAGATTTAGATAGCCTGGGTTCAATTTCTGGTTCCTACTTCCTAGCTGTGTGATATGTGGCTATTTATTCAACCTCTTTGTGCCTCTCTTTTCCTAACTATAAAATGGGGATAATACAACCCGTCTTGCAGGGAAAATAGTACCTTACACATAAAAAATACTGAATAAGTGTTAACTATTGCTAAACATAATTTAATACTATCTGCTATTTTGAACTCCTCTCTACTCTCTAATAAGGGTGGGGCCTTAGCCAGCATGAGGTTCAGCAAAATTTAAAAAATTTCGTTTTGCTGAGCCTCATTCTGGGTTAAGGGGTGCAGATGTGGAGATGGGGCTAGGGCATAGCTGAACTGGGACAAAATAATGGAGAGAGGAGTCTGAAGTCCTGAGAATTACACCAAAGGAAGAAGATGTGAGCCAGTATTTTTCTGTGTGGTATGGCATGTAACCCCCTTGACAAACCCTCAGTGAAGTCTACATTAATGTTTATAGGTGATGTGATTTACTTTAGCAGAACTCAAAGTGATTCTAGGTTCTGGGGCCAGCAGGGAATAGGTGCACCTGGCAGAGCCAGAGGATGGGAGAACAGCTGGCACTTGGATTCCACAAAGATGAATGTGACTCAGTCTGCTTCCTGAAGGAATTGCTGTCTAACAGCAGAGGAGATCCATATGTCTGCACTAAATTTATTTCAATACAAGGTAGAATGAATTCAGTGTTATAATGGTTCAACAAAGTGCTATGGAAATACACAAGTGGGAAAGATTTATTCTGATTTATACAGAAGTGGGAAAGAAGTGGATGTGGGAGGGCTTCAGGAAGAGATGATATTGACTTCCCTGGGTTAAGTGACTAACAAGTAGACATGGAGAGCAGAAGAACAAAGGACTAGCAAGGAAGTGCAATGGTGCTAGAGGAACAGTGAGACTGCATGGTATTTGAAAACAATGCCAACGACTAACTCCTGTCTCTAGATCTTTTGCTGTGCAAGTCATCATCAACTGGGGATTCTGTTACTTGCAGCTAAATGCAATCCTGACAGATTGATCAGTAACTATGTGTTGAATGAATAAACAGACAAATGGAAAGATAACTAGAATGGAAAATCAAAGGTCCCATCTCCAATTTAGGCTCTCCAAATGCTCTAGTGGACAGTAGATGGTTTTGTCTGTTCACCTTCCCTTCTTCATTCTAGTAATAGTAACCGCCCATTTTCCTTTGAGGAACTGCCTCTTCCCAACTCCAAATGATTTTCCTGGGACCACAAATTACATCATATCCTGCTACCCTCAGCAGTACGCCCATAATAGTGGAGTGGTGATATGACAGAAAGAAAACCAATCAGAATCTTTATTTTGGATTTTACTTTCAAAGACTAAGAGTTTAAATTTCTTTCTTTTCCTTTAAGTTTCCACTTAGAAGGATGTAACCTTAGAGATACTGACAACAATATACCTTGTCCCATGGAAGAACCTGAGGAAATGAGGCCTATGTACAGAGAGAGAAGCTGAGATGAAATGCAGAGAGAGCTGTGGATCTAATTTATCCTGGATTCGGGCACGCCTGAGGACATCTCTGCCCCTCTTCTTCTCATAAGAGAAAAAAAATACCCTGCTTCATTTTGACTTAATTAATTTTAGTTGCATTTCTGTTACCTGCAGCTAAAAGAATCCTGTGTAATGCAGTCACTAACTGGCAACATTATTTGTTAAATAATCATTTTTACTATTTTGGACTTTGGTTTCCTTATCTACAAATGTGGGTTGGACAATATACTCAATATGCCTTCAAACTCAGTTTTCATTTTTCACACTTCTAAAAAACTGTAAACTTTAAGCCAAAATATGGTCAATTAAATCCTTGGCCTCTATTTTTTAAAGGCAAAAAATAAACTATAAAGGAAAATTGTTATAATACCAGGCTGAAACCTACTTTCCTTTCTTCATGTCAACCTGTAAGTTAGGTCATCATAACAGAACCTTAAGTAACATCTTCCACAAATGGAATGCAGTCATTTAAAAATTATAATAAAAGATTACTTTGTAATTTAGTATATGATAAAGGCAGAATTTCAAAGCAGCAGGCAAAGAAGATATTATTCATTAAATATTAGAACAATTGATTAGCCACTTAGAAAAGAAACAAAACTGAATCTCCTCTTTGTTTCTTACTCCAAAATAAAATCCAGATAATTTAAAAGAAAACCAAGAAAAGTAATAATGAAGGTACTGGAAGAAAAAATGAGTGACTGCTTTTTATAAACTTGAGATAAAAATTACTTTTTAAGTGTGACAAGTAAGTATAATCTCAAATGCAGTATAGGCCAGAGATTAAGAGCACAGGTTCTATTACAGAAACAACAACCTGGGTTCAAATCTTGGTGAGCTTAACAAAGGCACTTATTCATCTAAGCCTCAGTTTCATCTGAAAAACTATGATACCTGCCTCACAGAGTTGAATAAGGAAAAGAATTATATGTATAGGAATATTCTAATAGGATATAAAACAAAAGAATACAAATAAAACATAAATAGTGGTTATTTCAAGGTGAAGGAATTATGGGTAACATATTTTTTCCACTTTCTTTTTGATTTGTATTTTCTAAAGTGAATTAAAACATCATGTCTCCCTGAGTGTCAGCATAGCATTGCAATTATGATCATAGACTCTGGAGCCCAACTTCTTCGGCTACAATGCTAGCTCCATTACTTACTACCTGTGTAAGTTTGGGCAAGTCATTTAGTCTTTCTCAGTTTCCTCACCTGTAAAATGAACATATTACTTCCATTACAGAACTAAGTGAATTAATATGGGTGAAGTGATTAGAATAGTACTTGCAGAGAATGTTATATAAGTGTTTTCAAATATTATTATTTTTCTCTTCTATTTCCTTTCACTTAAAATTTCTATTTTTTGTATGCCTTTAATACAATCAATGAACAAAGTTACAGTTATATGTGAGTAGCTCATTACAGTTTAATGCAGGTATCAGCAGACTATGGTCAGTGGCCAGGTAGCCCTTGAACTAAGAACAGTTTTCACATTTGTAAAGGGTTGTAAAGAAAGAAAGGAAAAAAAGAAGAATGTGCAACAGAGATAATATGTGGCTCACAAAGCCTAAAATACTTACTAACTGGCCCTTTATAGAAAAAGGTTGCTAACTCTTGGCTTAACATGTTTCCCCTTTCAAATACATTTGCAATTTAAAATCACCACAGTATAAATATCAAGGAATAAATCTCTAAAGGTGAAATTTCAAGAAATACTGTAAATAGGAAGGGAGATAGTTTTAAGACAAGGAAGATATTATTTCATTTTGTTAATATTTGCTCCCCTGCTCTCTGTTGAGATAAAAATTTTTCTACCAATGATTAAGAATCACTTCACAGTAATTGATTGGAGGAAGGAATAGTACAGTAGCATCAAATAATTCAAAAGACACTTAAACCCATGAGGCTGAATGGGATCTCAAATGATTATTGTATTTCTCTTGCCCAACTCTGTCATGCTGATGGGAATCCAACTACCATGGGAATAAGGCTCATATCAGGTCTGGAATCAGCAAATTTGCCAGGCTAAACGTCTAGTTCTTTGCCACAGGCTCTTGTGGTAATAAGTGTGGGAGCAGGAAAGCTGACTCAGGAAGTCTTCTTTCTAGATCTTGGTTAAACACACTTCAGAGAAAGAAAGTTGCCAGAAGCAGAATATTTAGAAATCGAAAGTTGTTAAAAAGCTGTTACTGTGAAAAGAGAAAATTAAGTTAGCTTTTTGTTTGCCAACAAATAGAGTGTTAACCCGAGAATCTCTGGGTAATTTAGCTATTGCTTTAATTAGCCTTGAACTTGTAGACTTTTCACGTTTTCATGTGCAAACAAAACAGCTGTGGGCAAGAGACTGAAGGGAGTCCAAGGTAGAGACCTGATACTCCTCAGAGGGCCCTGAAATGAGACGTGTAGGAAGCTGGCAGGTCTGTCTGTGAAGCTGATATGGGGCACGCATTTGTCTACTGAATCCAGGAGTCCCTAGTTTTGTATCAACTGGGGGTAAAAGTGGGGGTGGGGGAGGAGGAATGAAAGGAAAGGCCACTTCCTTTTGACCTTAATTAGGTCTGCTGAGATTCAAATGTGAGTGGTCAACTGAGGGGCTGTGGTTTGCTAGAAGTCTATTTGCATGAAGAATGAAGGATATTTCCGGGGCAGAGGGAGTCAGGCAGGCACATTTGGCACAGCAAAAACATTCTTAGTTATAACACGCAAGAGGTGCTTCTGAATACAGCACAGATTCTGTATTTAGAATTGACTTTCGGCCCAGCTCCTAAGTGTCTAAGTCCAATTTGGGGAAAGAGGGCTTCAGAGTCTGGGCTTTTCCTCTGCAACGAATATTTGGATTAAAATAAAGACGGAGGAAGTGTTCCAATACAGACTTGGCAATTCTTTCTTTTCCCAAGTAAGGCCATTTAAAAACAAAAATACCATCTAATATCACCATCATTTGAGAAAAGAAAGAGACTTGTAAAGAGACATAATATATAATGATACCAATTTGACATAAAACCCAAATTAATTTAGGCTTCATTAAAAAAAAAAAAAAAAACCAAGATGAAAACTTTAGAACAGCCTCTAAGAAAAATTCCCCTCCACCATGTTGTTATTACTTCATCTCATCCCTTTTTCCTCTTTGTTCCGTCATATTTTATACCCTGCCTTTGGTCATCTCCTTTGCTTCCCTTCTCCCCAAACCTTCTCTTGTTTTAACCATCCTTTCTTTTTCTTAATTACATCACTTTAGTAGGGAATTGGGTCAGCTATGGGCTTGGGGAGGGTAGATGTGGGAAGCATGTAGAAGAGCAGACGCTCAGGCTGACAGTAAGACTTACCACTGGAAATGAGGTCCAGGAGAACAGGGGCTCTGCCTTGGTTTCCTCTGTATCCCCAAATCTGAAACAGGGTCTGGAATGTACATGTGCTCAATAAATGTTCATTGAATAAATAAGTAAAACACAGACAAGGCATATACAGTTGCTACTATAATGCATCACAAATGACAACAAGGTAGTAGTCATTGCTCTTATTGGAGGTAATGACGATATTTCAGAAATCATACAGGAAAATGAGGGAAAAACCCCTAGTTGATAATATACCATCCTAACCCAACTGCTATTAAATTTCTATTGTTATTCTTTCAGTATTTTATAATATGTATGGGAATACATAGTTTCAAAAGAAATATTTTCAAAAGAAACAATCTCCTTCATCTACAAAATATCACTAAAAACAAATTTAGGTGATGTTGTCTAAGTAAGTCTGAAATGACCCTTGACAATCCTTATAAGTACAAAAAAGCATGTGGTATAAATTATAAAAGACATATATTCTCTTGCTGGCTCCTACTCTAAGGGTATCAATATTCTCATCTGTAAAATGAGACGATTGAGGCTCCATAATCTTAAAGGTCTTCTTAGAGTCTGAGATTTAATGATTCCTAAATTTAACTGTTTTACATTCTGATTGTAAAGCAGTTTGTATATATTTACATATTTATGCATATACAGTTATATATTTATATATAATAATAAACTTGGACATAGGAGTTCCTTCCATGCGGAAGGAAAACAGATTTTAGAAATTCACATTAAAAAGCCCTTTCTAATTTTTCAGGACTATTTTTTACCTGGAGGAATTGCAGTAAGTAGTTTCACTTACTTAGATAGACTGATTATTAGTAATGTAAATTCCCAAAGAGAAATCTTTATCCTTATAAACCAATAAAATAGACAGTTAATCCAAAACAAAGTGACAACACTAAACCAGCTAGGCATATTGTAATCTAAGAGGAAGAGCGAGGGGAAAATAATTTGGCTCATTGCTACAGAAATGGGATAAAGAAAATTCCATCGTTAGGTTTCCACACAGAGGAGTTAGTGATGCAGGAAATTCGCCCTTGTTGTAGAATTCGAGATCAACACCCCCTTTTTCCCACTTTCTGTTTTTCTAAAGACCAAACTACCCTTTTCTCCTGAAGATAATAACTTGACAAACATGATTACTTCATTAATCTAGATATTATCTTTCTTTTGGAGGTCGCAGTAGAATTGCCTTGAATTGAAGCTTTAACTCCTTCACTGCCACCGTCACCAGGCAGGTGATGGCTGAAGGGACAGGGGAGGTTTCAGGCGACGCGCCCAAAGGTGGCGAAAACGCGTCAGCTGGGGATATTCAGTTTCGGTTGCTTTAATTTAAATACCCTAAACAGTCAGTTTCAAAAGAACCAGAATTGAATTCGTGCCGAAAGCAGGTAAATCGAAGTATGCTAGAATTGATTCCCAGCCTGAAGGCTGATGCTGAATTCAGACAAGCAGCCACCCTCCGGGTTTTCCAAGGTAGTACACGAAAGAGAGAGAATCTGGGACTGTTTACACACGCGCTTCCAGCACCAACCATCGAAGTGTTCATCGGCATCGTGTTAACCACATTAATAGCGGGAATCGCCTTATCAGATTGCAAAATTCGTGTAATTTCCCACCGCCTGTTGCCGGCCAACAGTGGACGCCTTACAATTCCCAGTGGCCATCCGCCCCCGGCGTCGGGAAAATCCCCGCGTTCGATTCCCCGCGCTCACCGCGGTCTTTTGCTGCCCCCTGCCGGGCCCGCGCGGCGTGCCACGGAGGCTGGCGGGATTACCGCGCGGGGGCGCAGGGCCGGCGACGTCGTCTCTGCGCGCGTCCCGCGGCCGGAAGTTAGTCTTGTCCATTTCCGGCCCTCGGTGACGCTCCAGACCCCAGAGGAGGAAGTAAAAGCCATGTACGGCATGTAGGTACATTTCCGGGTAAGGGGCAGAGTTTGTTGTCGCTATATTTTCCTTTCTTTTTCTTTTCTAGAAAGGATCTGGGTGACTCAGCTGTACAGCGGCGCCCCTTGAAGAGTTGCCCTTGGGGGAGGATGAGGACTGGCAAGGGCCTACGGTGTAGAATTACCTTGGTTTTGAGTTAGAAAAACCCACCTGGGTTTGAACCTCGTGCTTCATCTGGCTAAGACAAGTAATAAGGGAGCTCGGCGCTGTTTCAGATTTTGTAGTTTTAGGGATAATGCCTACGTTTTAAGTTGTTGTGGGCGACTAACTAAAACAATGTATGTGAAGCACTTAGCTTTGGTTTACAAAACATATTCGTGATTCTGCTACCTTTTTCAGGCGTGTGCTTGCTGTTTTTTCAGTGTGTCTGAGAGATGGTTAGTTTGCAAGAGGTAGTGCATCCCACAGGAATACTATGCAGAGTTAGCTGGGATCAATCACTTTTATGTGTATTATGAAGTCCTGACAATGTTTTGTTTTGTTGCCATTTTTAGATACAGCTGTTCTCCAGCATTTCTGGAGGGATGCAAAATCTTTCCTTAAGACAAATAAGGTGAGAAATGCAGTGCTGTAAACATCTCCAAACTTAGTTTGCTATATGTAAAGACCAGCTGGAATGTGGTACCTTAGGGGCAGTGATTAGCCATTTCAATTAAAGGCTTCTTTTTTTTTTTTTTTTTTTGAGACAGAGTCTCGCTTTGTTGCCCAGGCTAGAGTGAGTGCCGTGGCGTCAGCCTAGCTCACAGCAACCTCAAACTCCTGGGCTCGAGTGATCCTTCTGCCTCAGCCTCCCAAGTAGCTGGGACTACAGGCATGCGCCACCATGCCCGGCTAATTTTTTATATATATATCAGTTGGCCAATTAATTTCTTTCTATTTATAGTAGAGACGGGGTCTCGCTCAGGCTGGTTTTGAACTCCTGACCTTGAGCAATCCGCCCGCCTCGGCCTCCCAAGAGCTAGGCCTCCCAAGAGCTAGGATTACAGGCGTGAGCCACAGCGCCCGGCCAATTAAAGGCATTTTTAACTGGCCAATTGTGGAGTGGAGGGAAATGTAAATCCTTTTCTTTTGAAGTTCAAGTTACAAGTAGGAGGATTTCACTGTGTTTCTTAGTTGATAGCCCTTAGAATAATGGTTTTGATTCATTAAAAACATCAATTTGAGAGACAAATTGAAGTCAATTTTGGAATACTTACTGTTTTTGAAATTTGTAGTTAAGGGAGTTGATATTTCTTGCATTAGGCTGTTTAAATATCTATTCACCTTTTTAGATTTTATAGGAGTGTTTGAATGGAGATTGGCTGTTAAGAGGAAAACCTATTGATATTTTTGAAGTTTGATCTTCTTTGTGCTACAATCTGAAAAATAGAGAAAGGTTATATATATAAAATACATATGTGTATTCACCATTGTTTTTTACACCCCAGGCTAATTTAATTTGTTTAAAATTTGTCTGACTGCAAAATAACACATTTGTTACAGAGCCCAAGCTTGTACCACTTGCCACAGGATGGCCAATATGTTGAGAGACAAGGTATTGAGGAAAGGAAAGGAAAGTGACTTTTATTCCTTGTGCCAGCAAACTGAGAAGATGGTGGACTAATGTCCTAAAAAACCATCTTAAGTCAATATGAATTTTAGACTTTTTTATATTAAGGGAAGGGGTGGGGATTGCAAAAGGAAACTGAAGATCACAGACATCTGGTTATCGAGGGTCCTAGGAGATTGTAAAAATTCTTAGTTCAGGCAGATCTGATGTTCCTGTAAATCTTTAACATAGTATTGTTACTTGTGTGCATACTTTTCTTATCTCCCCAAGAGTTAGTTTTGGGAAAGGGTTAGTTATCATCTTTCTTCTAGAATTGAACTATAGACTACATTCTTTGTATAGTTAATTAGCCTATGTGCAGAGCCAGGCAGAGCTAAAAGATATTACTCGTAGGGGTCAGAAGCAAAATGAAGCCGGTCATACTTCATTGTTACAGTTTTCATTAAATAAAACATCAGTATTTCAGAAGTATATAGCCCCCGTTAATCTTTCAGAGATAACTGTTACTCAACTTTCCCCTTCTCTGTATATATTAATGCCTCCCCCCTTTAATATAAATGGTATTATCCTATCCATACTGTTATGCAGTTTGCCACTTAGGATATCTTGGATATATTTTGATTGCATTAGATCTGTCTCATTTCTTTTTAGTACCTGTACAGTAGTATATTTCATAGATGTACCACAATTTAGTTATCATTCTATTATTGGTGGCTATTTGTGGTGGTTCTTTTTTGCTATAGCAGATAATGTTAGGATCATCCTTTTATGTTATGGTCATCATTTTTATAATAAATGTGTATTCCTGTCCTTTTATTTCCTTTGGATAATCTCCAAGAAGTGGAAATGCTGGGTTAAATGGTAGAAACACTTAAAATTGTGATAGATTCTATATATTTTAAGAATATATAGAATATATATAGATATATATCTTTATATATCTTAAATATTAAGAATTAGTATATTCTCAAATATAAAGAATCCCATGTTTATTTATATGTTCACTAGCAGTCAATATTATTAATTACTGTTGTTTGCAGGTTTCGCTGAGACTGCTCGCATCATTTTGGGGATACATTTAATGCTTTTTAGTATTGTAACACAGACCAAATTTCAATTGTCAGTTCTAAGTCCATTTCAGCTTTTTTTCTATGTAAACAGAATACTTAGGTTTGGATTCCTTAGTAATAAATTATAAAACAAATGATTCACTTCAACAGTAAGTATTTTAAGTTAAAGATTTTAGGGAAGATTGTATTTGAATGGGACCTTGTACTATGTATAGGCAAGGAGGATGGGCCTTTGTGAAAGAATAACAGCTTACCCAAATGCAGGGAGACAGGGATGGGTAAGAATGTTCAAGATCAAAGGTTTGAGAGGCAATGCTATCAGGTAGTGAGGTTGTAGAATAGAATAGATAGCTGGAGAGGTAGTTAGATCTAGGTGTTGAGGGCTTTGAAGGTCAGTCTGAAGATTTTGCTTTCTTAGAGAGAGCTACGGAAAGTCTTCAATTAGAGAATGAGGGATGTAATTACATCATCTTTTTAAAACAAGTGTCAGTGTGGTGGTAGTTTTGAGTGATGTTAGAGAAGCAAGGCAGGTGGCTGTTACAGGCTGGGTAAAAGAGAATGAAGACTTGTAACAGTGAGAATAACAAAAGAATAGAGAGGTTAGGCCGGGCGCGGTGGCTCAAGCCTGTAATCCTAGCACTGTGGGAGGCCGGGGCGGGTGGATTGCTCGAGGTCAGGAGTTCAAAACCAGCCTGAGCAAGAGCGAGACCCCGTCTCTACTATAAATAGAAAGAAATTAATTGGCCAACTAATATATATATATAAAATTAGCCGGGCATGGTGGCGCATGCCTGTAGTCCCAGCTACTCGGGAGGCTGAGGCAGAAGGATCGCTTGAGCCCAGGAGTTTGAGGTTGCTGTGAGCTAGGCTGACACCATGGCACTCACTCTAGCCTGTGCAACAAAGCGAGACTCTGTCTCAAAAAAAAAAAAGAATAGAGAGGTTGGATTTCTAAGATGGTGAAGAAACAATCTACATGATTTGATGACTGTAGGGTTGAGGAAGAGGAAGAAAGCAAAGCTTACTTTTAGACTTTTATCATAAATGACTTAGGATAGTGATAGTAATATCCTTAATCAGAGAAGGGCAAGTTTGGAGGAGGGGAAAGATGCTCAGTTAGGTTTTGGGCATGTTAGTACACATGGAAGATATTTCTATGGAGAATGAGTTATACACAAATATATAGATTTATTACTCTTTTATTAGGAATTTTGACAGGTTTTCACTTATTTTTAGTTTGCCATTAGTAGAATTTCTGTTGAACATTCTGTGCTTGTTCAGCCATGTTTATCATCATGCTAATCTCAACAAATTGCACTGTATAGTAGCCTTCACACTTTTTTGATTGTGTACACTATCAATAAAAAATGTTTATAAATGTAGCTCCAATAAATATAATTTATTGATTAGTCATATGCATGTCTTACAGTACTATTATATTGTGTACATTATGAAAAATATATAAAAAGTAGAAATTTTCAAAGGCTAAGACAAATATAAATTGGAATTTTACTATTTTTTTTCCTACATCCCATTGATTCATTTTGCCCCCCTCTTTAGAAAGCACTGGTCTGATCTCCAGCTGATAGTGTTCTGTCCCGTTATCCAGTAGAGGTCACTCTTGAGCATCTGGAGGTGCAAACAGACTGTGAGCTGTGCAAGGTAGAGCCTTCATTCTTTAGTTAGAAGGAGGATCTTATTTTTAAGTTTCTAAATTCATGCATATTTGGAATAGTATTTAATTACAGAGTAGTGTGTGGTATTATGGGGAAGTGAAGAATCATAAGCTCACTAGAGTATGTATGTATCAATCAAAAGTATGCTTTTGTTGTTGTTTGATGTTTACTTTGTGAATGCTCTGCATTTGGGCTTGAATGTTACTTGATTCTGTAGTTGTGGAATCTTTTCCCAGTTCTTTGAGAATCTGTAGATTATGTGAGCCACAGGAATGTTCTCAGCCTGTGGGCATAATCCAAGTTCTTGTTAAAATTGGAGTAATTGAAAGGACAGACACAAAGAGGATTTCTTTGAAATTGATCTTGAAAGCAGTATCTTAAGCCCAAAAATGTTAGTGGTGGGTTGGAACCATCTATCTGGATTTTCGATTTTGTGCTTAATTAGGAAAAGGGAAATGCCTTTTCTAAGTAAGAGTCCATTGTGAGTAATTAGAAGTCAAGCACTGTTTGTCATAGGTGTATATTCTTAAAAAGAGAAAGTACAGTTTTAAATAAATATATGTGCTGTTGTATGACTTAGACCACAAGTAGCTTAGAAACAAATCATCAGATAGGTTGAATAACAGAAGAACACTTTTTCTGCTGTTTCCTCATAAAATATTTCCTATAAATACAGATATTCCTTTTAGTAGGGAACCTATGATTATAATCATATGCTATTTCATACTTTCTGTGCCCCATTTATAAATGATCAGGAAACTGAGTTATTGAGGTTTTGTCACTTGGTAGAAGCTGGAAGTTATAAGTATTGTGCGACGGATTCAGACAGCTCTGGTCTTGTATAATATGGTGATGGGGTAAAGGAGGATGGTAAAAGCAATGTTTTAATGTTTATATGCCATCCCTTAGCACAGTTCCACATGTGGTGGACTATGTAGACTAAATATCCCAACTAGATCATTTTGAAGATGAAAATTGGTTTGAAATTGTTGGGTTACAACCAAGGGCATGATGAGTAAACTGAATGACGTGGAGATTGGGATCAGGAGCTGTTGACTAGAGGTCTATATAAACTAAGAATTAAGGCTCTAATTATAGCATGGATTTAGGGGGTACCACGAATGTAGAAAAAGATGTTTAAGATGGAAATTAGATAGTGTAAGGTGTTAGTTTTCAGGGCTAGATTTAGAGATCAAAAACCAGGAGGCCAGAGACAAAGAAGTCTAGTATCTATAGGCAGGACAAGGTCAAAGATCTGGGAAATTGGAAGATAAGGCAGAAATGGAAGTGTCAGTTATTAGAAATAAGCCTAAGGTCTGGAAACTGCAAGGACAAAGTAGAGATGGAGAGGGATAACTAGTTTTGGGTAGCCAAGGCAGGTGAGGCCAAATAAAAAGAGCAAGGTAGAAGCAGAAATAATTCTGGGGCAGTGATGGCACCATCTTGCTTTTCTTTTTTTCTTTTTTTTTTTTTTTTTGAGACAGAGTCTTGCTTGTTGCCCAGGCTAGAGTGAGTGCCATGGTGTCATCCTAGCTCACAGCAACCTCAAACTCCTGGGCTCAAGCAATCCTTCTGCCTCAGCCTCCCGAGTAGCTGGGACTACAGGCATGCGCCACCATGCCCGGCTAATTTCTTTCTATTTATAGTAGAGACGGGGTCTTGCTCTTGCTCAGGCTGGTTTCGAACTCCTGACCTCGAGCAATCCGCCCGCCTCGGCCTCCCAGAGTGCTAGGATTACAGGCTTGAGCCACCGGCCTTGCTTTTCTTTATGTTAAAAATGGAAGCAGCTCTGGGCCCACCGATAATGAACAGAAACAGTGAGCAAGGGAGTGAGAGTGTGATGGTGGAATTGTTACTACGGCACCAGGAGAGCTGGAACTATATATTCTTACAGAAATGACCATGATGCTTATAGTATTATAATATGGTTATTTAGCTGTTTAACACATGCATTTTTTTTTAATTTAATTTAATTTTTTTATTTTAGTGTATTATGGGGGTGCAAGTGTTAAGGTTGTATATATTGCCCTTGCCCCCCCTCCCCCCTCGAGTAAGAGCTTCAAGCATGTCCATCCCCCAAACATTGCATATCTTACTCGTTTGGTTGTATATACCCATCCCCTCCTCCCCCCTCCCACCCTCCCGACACCTGATAAATGTTATACTCCTATATGTCTACTTAGGTGTTGATCCGTTAATACCAATTTGCTGGTGAGTACATGTAACACATGCATTTGTGTAATATTATGTATGTTGTCTTATGCAGCATTCCCAAAGGTTTGGGCTTCCTGACCATTATGGCACCAAGAAACCTCTGGCACATGAGAAGTAACTTTCTCTTTGGTTCAAGATGGATGATCCAATTTTCAGCAGAAATCCTCTTCAAATCACTTTCAGTTAGACTTTTTGGTGTAAAGTGTGGTAATGCAAACAAAGAGCCTTTGGAGAATGGGGACCTATTGAACAACTTACTTACTATGGGAGTAGATATTGATATGGCAAAGAAACGACAGCCTGGAGTTTTTAACAGAATGGTTACTAATGAGCAGGACCTGGAGATGTTCCTTCTATCCAAAGGAGCTAGTAAAGAAGCAATTGCTAGCATCATATCAAGATATCCACGAGCCATAACACGTAGTTCTGAAAGTCTTTCAAAACGGTGGGATCTTTGGAGAAGGATTATGACATCAGACCTTGAAATTGTAAATATCTTGGAACGTTCTCCTGAATCCTTTTTTCGGTCCAATAACAACCTAAACTTAGAGAATAATATAAAGTTTCTCTACTCAGTTGGACTGACCCGTAAATGCCTTTGTCGATTGTTGACCAATGCCCCTCGTACTTTCTCCAATAGTCTTGAGCTGAACAAACAGATGGTTGACCTTTTGCAGGAAGTCTGCTTGTCATTGGGTCACAATGATCCTGTAGATTTTGTCAGGAAGATAATTTTTAAAAACCCTTTCATCTTAATTCAGAGTACCAAGCGGGTGAAAGCTAACATTGAATTTTTACAGTCAACATTCAACTTGAACAGTGGGGAACTGCTTGTTCTGATATGTGGTCCAGGAGCTGAAATCCTAGACCTTTCCAACGATTATGCCAAAAGAAACTATACAAATATCAAAGAGAAGCTGCTTTCTCTTGGATGTACTGAAGAAGAGGTACAGAAGTTTGTCTTAAGCTATCCAGATGTGATCTTCTTGGCAGAGAAAAAGTTTAATGATAAAATAGACTGCCTCATAGAAGAAAGAATTAGCATTTCACAAATAATTGAAAATCCTCGGGTTCTGGATTCAAGCATAAGTACTTTAAAAAATCGAATCAAAGAATTGGTAAATGCTGGCTATAACTTGAGTACATCAAACATCACTCTTCTGTCTTGGAGCCAAAAAAGATATAAAGCAAAATTGAAAAAGTTAAGCAGTTAGAACATTGTTCAGGGACTTTTAAAAAGTCAGTCATATGACATAGTGATATTTTATTTTGAATTTGGGCCTTTCAGAAGGGAGAGTTGATTTTTTAACGACAGATACATATATAGTGATCCTTTGGATATTTGGCTTTATAGATTAATAAAAACTATTAGTATGCTCAAGTATCATCCTCCTAGCTGTCTCTTCTCTGGTTTTAACTAATGCAATATACCATTAGATGACACAGGCTGTGGCTGCTTTACAAATAGCAGTTCCTCAGTGCCAGGGTAGAACAATGTGTAGGAGATAGAAAGCACAAAATAAGCTTTTGTTTTTTCTGTTCATGTTAAAAAATTGACAGACTCATTTAGGTAGTTTTATTTCCTCTCATGATTTCGAATGGCAACCTGCTTCTCCTTTTCTTTGTGTCTGTGGTTCATGTTAAAAAGTAGAATGCCAGTAAAAATAGTAAAAATCTGACAAAATAAAAAGGAGGGATTTTTCATCCCAAGTTTACAGTCTCCATTTAACCCATTAGTGTCCTCCTTCCATTCCCCCCAGGATTTACTAATGGTGTATCCTGATTTCTATAAAGACAAGGTCAACTGTAGTAAGCAAAATAATGGCCCACCTAAAGACACTGATGTCTTAACTTCCAGAAGCTATGAATATGTTATGTTACATTGCAAAAGGGGTTTGCAGACATGGTTAAGTTAAATGTGATTAAGGGCCTTGAGATGGGGAAATTATTCTGAATTATTTGAGTGGGTCTAATATAATCATAAGGGCCCTTAAAAGTGGAAGAGGGAGGCTAAAGAGGTCAGAAAGACTTTTGACTACTTTTGACGGATGTCAAAAGGAGGCTTTGAAGGAGGAAGGGTCCATGAGCTAACGTATGCAGGTAGCCTATAGATAATGGAAAAGACATGGAAACAAGTTTTTCCCTAGAGCCCCCAGAAAGGAATGCAGCCCTTCTGGCACCTTTTTAGCCCAGTGAGACTGTTGTCAAGACTTCTGACCTGCAGAACTGTAAAATAATAAATTTGTGTTGTTTTAAATCATTGAGTGTGATAATTTGTTACAACAGTAAATAATATAGGAACTAAATCAATGATTAGTCACATTATAGGTGAAGTCACAAAATGCAGTCCTTTTAGTATTATATATGTATTTCTAACTCTTATAAAGAGTGATTGCATTTTTGTAATCTACCTACCTTTCTGGAATTGCTAATAAGTTAGTGTGCATAAAGTCCTTTAAATGTGTGCATGAAAAGCTAAATGTAAATAAAATCTAAATGAATGTTTGTGCCTAATGAAGTAGTAGTAGTTTAAAGAAATGGTGGACACTTCTTTTATATATTTTTATTTTGTTGGCATTTTATCTAATATAAATAATGAGGAATTTCTAGATGCATTGTCTTTAAAAATGACAAATCAGATGTGTGTTTCTTAAAGACACAATTTAGCTCTGATATAAACTGAAAGAGAAGAGACAAGTTATATGACCATAATTTTAATTATTTTCCAGGGGGATTTGTTTTCTAGTTATGGATTTTGAATTAAATAACATAATTATGCTCAACCTTTAAACCTTAATTGCTATCAGTGATGCCTCAATAAAACTTATTTCTACCATTGAGAAAACAAAATGTCTGCTTTTCCAAGGCCATTTATATGTTCAATGATACTCTTATTATAATCTTTAGCAAACTGTTTAATGGCAAAAGCATGACAGTTTAGAAAACATGAGCTTACAAGAGGCATTTCTTTAGAGTGATGTATCTGGGCATCATTACTAAGTAACACTAACATTTTGTGTACAAAATTTACTGAACTTATTTCCCCATCTATAAGATTAAAAATTGCCGTTGCAAAGTTGGTAAGAATCAAATGAGAAAGAGACTATAAGGTTTCTTGCATTTAGTAACTATTCCATCAGTGGTAGCTGTTATAAAATTGAATTGTATACTGTAAATAGGTAAATTGTATGATATATGAATTCTGTATCAATAAAGCTGCTTTTGAAAATACTATTTTGTCTTTTTATATTTATGGAGTTGTGCTACTCTTAGTCCACTTTCTGTTGCTTATAACAGAATACGTGACTGGGTAATTTTAGAGAAAATGACCTATTTCATAGAATTATGGAAGCTGAGAAGTCCCAGGTTAAGGGGTTCCATCTGGTGAGAGACTTTTTGTTGGTGGGGACTGCCTGAAGAATCCTGAGGCACCACAGAGTGTCAGATGGCAAGTGATAACATGCCCAGTTTTCTCTTCCTCTTTTTATATAGCCACCCTTCCCACTACCATGGTAACTAGTAAATCCACGAACCCATTGAACTATCAGTCTGTTAATTCAGGCCATTCCTGATGGTAGAGCCCTCATGATCCTGTCACTTCTTAAGGGCCCCACCTGTCAATACTGCCACATTGGGGATTTAGTTTCAACATGAGTCTTGGAGGGGACAGATATTTAAACCATAGTGGCAACCGTCACCACGCATGATCTAGTTTTGGAATATGCTTGCACCCCATAAAAGAAACTGTACCTAGTAGCAGTCAATCCCCATTATCCCCCTCTTATCACTGTCCACCTCCCTTGCCCTAAGCAAAAACTAGTCTATCTCTATAAAGTTGCTTATGTTAGACATTTTGTATAAAGGGAATCACAATATGTGGTCTTTTGTGACTGGTTTTTCAGTTAGCATCATGTTTTCAAAGTTCATCCATATAGCACATATCAACATTTCTTTTTAATGCCCCAAATATTCAATATATGGGTACTGTAGTATTATTGGGAGTAAATTTTGTTATGGCTTAAAACATAAAGTTTAATTCCTTAAATCTTCTGAATTGTATGTGAGTATTTTCTGAGGATTGCTTTGGAATCTAACAAGTTTATAAGGAACTTGAGGGAGGTGGGTGGAGAGATAAAAGTTTATTTGCATCAACAGATCATGAGTACTATAACTGGACTGATAAGAGACATCTGTTGCAAGTGGCCAAAGAGAATGTGGGCTGCACAGAAATGCAATACAGCACTTGATTGGCCAGTAGCAGGTTGGGGAGGAACTTCTTTGGAGAAACAAATGGAAAGTGCCTGTCAGGCAATATTGTCATACTTTCAAGTTTGAATCTGAGGCAGTTTCAATTCTTTTTTAAAAAATGGGATCATAAGTAATTTTTTTTCATAACTGAAAAGAAAATCCATGTTTATAATGGGAAAAATGGGTAGTAAATCACAAAAAAGGAAAAAAACTATAATCTTATTTCCCAGAGATGATCGATGTGTTAGGTAGATAGATAGGATTTCCCGCCCTTCTCAGGACAAGTGTTCCCTGTTCTGGTGCTGTTTTGAGCAATTGCTCCACCTGGGAAGAATAATATGGGCAGGCATTCCATTTTGGTGCTGCCCCACCCTTAATCCTATCCTGAACAACTGCCACACCTGGGGAAGGAGGGCAGGCTTTATCAGTCTAGGAATTCCCCAGCCCAGGCATAATAAGATTTAGAAAGTGACCTAGAGTAACCTAAGGGTAATTAATACGCCATTAGCTTGAATCTCCATTGTTCACCTTCCCCCAGATGGGCTTTTTAAAGAGTGGGTTCATATATAGGCAGATGGAATTTTGAGGACACCTGTTGATCATTTGATAACATCCTACACCTCCCAAGATCCCTCCTCCAGACTGGGCTAATAAAAGGAAAGAATCTGAGAAGTCAGGTAGTAGTGAGTGGGTCAGTCAGTGAGTGAGTTGGTCTGGCTCGTTCCATTTGCAGTCGGACCCAGTCAATTCTATAATAAAGAGCTGCTCTTGTGAAACTGCCCCCTTCCTGAGGTTACTCCACTGTATTGGCCTTGTTGGTGATTTTTCAAGAAAAGAGTCGGAGGACCAGGATAATAGTCTGGACTTGACATTTTGGTGTGTCTGGTCATTCTTCAGCCAAGAGCACACCAAGAACCTAGGGCAGACTTCCATGATGACATCTTTGGTGCCAAAACCTAGGATTCTGACAAGTAAACATTTTGGTGACTCTTCCTGTTGTTTTTCTTTGTAGAATATATCCATACATGGATGTAATATGGGTAGCTATGTGGCATATATATTTGAGACCAAACTGTATGTATCTTATACATTGTTTATTTTTTAATCTTTTTTTCTCCCTCTACTTCAATAAACTAGTCTATATAGTTTATTTTAACCTAATAGATCCTAAACATATTAAGTATTCTTCAGTAATTAATTACAGAATCAATTACTTACCTGTAACATGCTTTTTAATAGTTGCATGGGATTCTGTTGTTTGGATAAACCATAATTTCTCTAGTCAATTTCTCACCATTGGCCAGAGTGAGTAAATGTTAGTAAATTAGTAATTTTTTAAAATTCCTACTTAGATTATTTCAGTGTTCCATTTTTCACCATTTGTATACTTTATAAGTTAAAAATTTGCTTTAGAAAATATAAATGTTGGCCGGGTGTGCTGGCTTATGCCTATAATCCTAGCACTCTGGGAGGCTGAGGTGGGTGGATCATTTGAGCTCAGGAGTTCGAGATCAGCCTGAGCAAGAGCAAGACCCCATCTCCATAGTTCAAAAAAAAAAAAAGGGAAAACATAAATTATTAAGGGTGCTGCATTTTGCTGTCCTCCAAATATCAGATCTACAAAACTTCATTTTTTAATGAAAGCCATTGTGCAGTCTAACTTATTGACATAAATTTGAAGGGCTCTCAAATAACATTTAAAAAACTGCAAGGATTGGAACAATATCAAAGATTATAAAGAAAAAAATGAATTTCTCCATAATGAACTTAGCAGGAAGGAATAAAAAATGAGTATTTATTAAAGGGTTTATTGGATTATTAAACTACTTATTTCTCTCTTTAATATAATTTCTAAGACTAGGGTAGGTACATGGTCTGTGGCTAAAGATCCAATAATATGGCTTTCATGTAAAACCTGACTATTGGCTCCTTCCTTCTTAGACTATAATGCCCCCTACCTCATACCCACAAATATGATCTAGTGGGGAACTTGGGGAGAATATGTTGATGGTAGAACCCTAGCCACAAACTTTAATAGTCATGGACTACTGTTTGGCACAAGCAAGGTAGCACAGCAGGACTGTATCATTATTAGATTTTTGGGAAGAGATCATAGCAGAAGCACAGTTGCCCAACATTAGAGTAGGAAGAAATGATTTCATAGTCATCATAGTCCTCCAGGCATTATCTTTGGAGGATTGAGATCCTGGGTCTGATTGGCCACCAGGTGACTTTGGAGACGGGTGTTCTAAACTGACCAACAGGTCCTGGACTGAGGCAATTCATTCAGTCCTTAGTTTATTCCCTTTTGCCTCAGGTACTTGGTACGGGACTGAGCCGTCATGGGATCAATTTTGAGGAGTTGGGGAAGGCATCCATGGTGAATGTTATTACCAGGCCATCTGTATCTTCTTGCTTATTTTCATGTTTCTGGGCTTCCCTCAAATGGTCTTCCCGCTTTTCTTTCTTCTGGACTTCTCAGGATGGCTGACATCTACCCTTTTGCTTTCACATATTCTTTTTCTTTACAACACACAGAGGTTAGTCAAAAGGAAAAAACCAAAATGAATATAGAATTTTTAGGGGGGCTATGATTTAAACCATATTCTTGGCAGGACTTCAAGCCTTTTGACTAATTTCTGAGTGGAATTTGGTATTGACATAAAAGACACTGATGGAATCTCATTTTCTGTCCCAGTTTTACTATTTATCAAATTGTTATTTGGAATTTGTTTTTCCTTAATATTGTGTGAAGATTGAGCTTATGTACATGACTTGCTTTGTGTTAAATATGAATAATTTTAATATGATGAGGTGATGATTCTTCCATCTGCATTTTGAATATCCCAATTTTGCCACCTTCACCAGCTGTTTTGGTACCTTCAATTTATGCCCACCATGATTTTCTTTCTTTTTTTAAATTTTACAGTGGCAATGAATTATTCAT